CCTTTGCTATTGAACGACTCGGAGATCCCGACGAAGCTTTTGACATTGCTCAGCGTCAGTTTATTCTGCTGCATTAGTTTCCCTGGTATACAAAAGTCAGACAAAGCGTAGTAGAGGCAGCTGTTGAACGCTTTAAAATGGTGAAGAAGTGGATTGCGTCCATCCTTTTCTCACGGTAGTTTTTAAGATTTGGTGCACGATCGAGTCAATTCATTTCGTTTGCTTTCACACTACATGCTCCATAGAACCTCATACACGATATTGTGGAAGCTTATTCGGGGAAAAATTGCGCCGATTATGTGGAGCCTCCGTCAAACTAGCCGGAAAACCTTCGGCTACCACCGCATTGTTGATCCGGCAATGGAATGTCTATTCCGACGTCAGCGATGGGTAATTTGGGTTCACTCACATTCAGCAAGCAAACATTGATAGACGATCGATTTCTTTCTGAAAATAGATTTGTGTTGTTACAGAAGGTTTTCCAACATTGTCTTCGTGCCGCCTGACAGCTTTTGGAAGTTTTTAATTAATAAACTTCGTAGGATTGCGAGGAGCCGCTTCTTTGGTTTTGTTAAGTAGCCGTCTGTCGCTTTTCCTAATCTCTAAGCTAAAGGAGAACGCTATCCTGTTACACTTTGTTTCCAATTTGAGGGAAAGCAGTCTCTGCAACGCTGAATAGACAGCAAAGACCCATAGGTGCGGAGAGATAGTGAAGCCAAGGCTTCGTGTAAATATAAATATATTTCGTGCTTTAAACCGCTTAGGTGGTCCATTTTCGTTATACTTTATCCTTGGTGTGAGTCTTTTTTCCTACAAAGCGAGATCGGCTGGCTCTGTTGAGATGCGTTCCGAGATCTATTTTCTCTTGGTGCTTTCTTTAAGTAAAGTCAACCTTTCAAATAGTTCAATGATGCCGCTTTCCTATACGTCATTCGCCAATGCGGCAACGTTGTTCATGTACAAGTTCTCTGTAGAACTTTGCTTAGACAGTTATCTCCAGAATCGATTGGAGTTGAACTTATCCGCAGCGGGAATGGGCATTTTGCTGTTGGAGTTTCGAAGGCCAAAGAGTACATTCCCATCTCTTGGTGGGAGAGGGTTGTGGCTCAAGTACTGATGCATCGTTTGTAAGCTGCGTTGTGCCTCATCGCACATTTGTAGAGTTCTTTATGAGGAAGAACGAACATAAGCTTTGAAGACTATGCTTGAAATAATTGGAATTTTTATTTTGCCCCAAATCACTTTGGGAATTACCAATGAACGCCGCGAATTCCAACAATGTACAATGAATTTTCTATATGATTGAATGTGCGCGTGTGTGTGCAAAGGCTTGTACGCATAAATATTATTTGGAGTGTACGTGTATGTATGTAACGCGTGTGTGTGTGTGTGTGAATGTATTTAGCTAAACATACTTACAGCGCCAAATAATATGGCAAAATACGTATTAAGTAAAACGAATTCAAATTAAAATACATCGACATACTCGTATATACATACATACATACATACGTGTTCATATGTTTATATTATAAGTTTATTTTATGCCTACAAAACAAACATATGCATGCACATACTCGTATATATGCGCGTACACACATATGTATGTACATATATAATAGGTAAACAGCATAAATACCAAAACTTGTTTTGGCTACGAAACGCGTATGGGCCGCGGAGTTGAGCCAGCGGTGGAGCAGAGCACCGGAGAAGGTGGGCAGGCAGACATCGCGAGGCATAGCCGTGGCAATAATGACAATAGCAACAACAAACTACGGCAAAGGAGCGTTGGAGCGTTGGACCGCTGGATCAATTGCTCGATTGTTCGATTGCTGGAATTTGCTGAATTTCTTGGTTGTCTATACCGGCTGTTAGGAATGACTGAACTGAAAATAAAGTGAAATTCACGATGCACCAAATACCATTGAATTCGATTTTGCGCGATGCAATACCAAAGTGTGCAGAGCGACATACCAAATCGAATCGGAACCAAAACCAAAACCAAACATAACTGAAATCACCTACACACACACACAGACATAAATATCTATAAGGCTTGTCCCATAGCGATCGAGACTGCTGCTTTGAAAAGTCTTTCTACACCAAAACGACCCGAAATTTCATGCCAAAAGTCATCGTTTCGTTCGTTTTATCGGAGACTCGGCAGACAATATTCTTCTTTCTTCCAATTGTCTTAACATTTTTTGGCCTCAAAGCATCATTGGATGACATAATTGAAACGTGTGCTTGAGTTTGAGGTTTTGTATAACTGTTCCATATACACAAAAACAGTGGCTCCAATCACAAAAATATGTACATACACATATTTATATTTAACTCAAAGCGCTTTAATGATTCAACAGAACTTCTATTCGACTTCTAGTGGTGATGTTTTAGTATTGTACAAATGGAGGGAGCTGCCGCTGTTTGGGAAGCCAGAGGAATCAGGAGCTTTTGATTTATGTCAGACATATCTCCGCCCGCTCTCTAGGTGGCCTCAGTAGCCAAATGGTCAGTAATGCGTGATAGCATGCGGGTCATGGGTTCGAATGCGAACCACACCAATATCTAAAGTCATAGAAAAGGAATGTCAACCCCTTTGATTGTATTTCTACCATGAAGGCTGGACTCGCTCGCATGACTTTCAACGTAGTAGTTCGCACCGAGGATTGTCGGTGGTCTTGAGAACTGTACGTAAGGTGGGACCTAATTCATCAACTTTTAGCCAATTGACAGACAGAGTGGGAATCTGCAAATGCCCAGCACGCTCTAAATGAAAGACTGTCTAAGCCGAAACCTCTGACAAAGTTTCGTTGTGCTCTTCCTTTCTTGGATATTTCGCGAACGTTTACGTTTGTTTTCAAGTCAATTTTTTAGTTTCTGGTATTTTTGTTGTATCACAGCAAATTTTTCCCCTTTTATTGCTGCATATATGTATGTATGCATGTGTACGAGTATGTACATATAGAGATCTGCAGGTATATGGTCGAACGTTCAAATATATGTTCGCATGTTTGTATGTACTTGTATGTATTCATGTAGTTTTCGTGGTCTCTCGCTTTTCATTGTTCCTCTTGCAACACGTCATTGCCACAGCCACCGCGCATGCGCACTGCATACTGCATACCGCATAGCCAGGCGAAGTCGGCAACGTAAGCCAGGCCTGACTTTAGATTCTTTTTGCCATTCCTTCAGCTCGTTGTTCCTGTTTTGGCCGCTTTGCCCTTTGGCAGGCGACACTGGGCTCTTGAAGCATTGAAGCATTGAAGCAAAATCAACGAAAAAGACCAATTCCTGCACAGTAGCTGTTTCATGTTAATGCGCGCCGATATTGCCGAGGAGATGCTAACAAAAAATATCAACATGCAACGCAGCCGTGGCTTACACATGCACACATACACATACACGCAGATACACAAACGTCAACTCCATCAGCATTAACAACAGTCGCATAGCAACAAAAATAACAAAAAATAACAAAAAATGCTGGTAAGATCATTGGCAAAGCTTACAACAACGCTTGGCTACCGGCCATGGGTGGGGGTGTTCGGGTCGCAGAGTGTGAGCTGACATTGCAAAATGCAAGAAATGAAATACTTGTACATCCATACGAACTTACATATTTTGTAGAAACTATATTTGTTGGCTTTGCGAATGTTTGCAAGAAATGAATGAATAGGACTTTGACGTGCGTCAGATCGATTCTGTACCTTGTCCCAAACGTTTGTTTGTTGGGGTTCGGGGGCTTAACAGAATTGCAAAGAGTTTTGTTCTTTAGTTCGAAAAATGCTTGCTTTGAGCATATAATGAGAAGTGATGCTGAAATTCGTATAACTTAATCCATCCACGTCCATGTTTCTGTATTCAGGAAGTTATTCAACTCCAAGAAACTAGAGTAATGGTCTGCTGGGTTGCATATCCGCAGATATACATACCTTGTACAGCACAGCAATAACTCCTCTGGCTGGGAATATATATGTCCTGGAGCTTAACGCCAAGGCCTCATTTTGGTAAAGGTTAGCAGCGCGCTCAAATGGATTCTCCGATGGCAGGGTCTTGAAGTACTAGGAATTAAAAGAAATACTATTTCTTTACATATATCAGCAGCCACTGTAAATGAGTGGATAACACTTGGTAAATATGGTCGCTTACGGACAGGGAATGTCAGCACTTCCAAGTGTATCTCTGGCACAAAATAAAAAGCTACTCATAAAAATCCATCTACTCCGTGGCAGCTTCCAACAAACTGTGTAGTCCAGTTTTGAGCCACATCTGCACGGAGAGGTTTACATTTCCTGCCTGTAGACTAACCAACACAATTTTAAAAAATCCCTTTCCACAGTTTTCAATGTAATTCTGAGCAGGTTTATAGCCTGTGCCCAACCGCATAGAAACGCGCCTTGTTTCCTACACCAATGCTGCAGCGGTCGCTCATTTGGCTTAGTCTTCCTAAAATCTACAGCAGCTTGACTGCAAATGCGAACAGATTGGCAATTTCGAGCATGTCAAAAATTTAAGTGAGGTCTAAGCACACTTCCTCATTCACTTTGTTTATACAAACTCGTATTCGTAAATATGTACACACATTGGGCAAATGATTCATTTTATTACCGATCACAATGAGACATCAATGGCCTGCAAATTCCTACACCAATGCCATTAACAATGTCAAGTTTTAGGGCGAAATCTCAGAATTCAGAGGAGAGAAATCTCTTTGGTGGGGAAGAAGTATTAACATTTACGCTCATCCCACTGGGAAAAGGCAAAAGGTTTAGCATGCTCTTTTATTGGAGTTTCTGGTTAGTTATTTTCTGCCTCCACATCAATTAAAGCCGTCGTCACGGGGCACATTTGCTCAGCCTATTAGTACAATAGTATCACAAACTCACGCAAGTAATGTTCTACAAATACTTACTGGATACTTAAAATGTTCACCCTGTACTTACAGTCATGGCAACCGAAGTGGCCAAAACAAGAGCTTTCCATGCATCGACGTTTTAAAACTTTTCAATGCGAGTAGTTTTAGCCAACGATTTCAAGAAGCGATTTGTACACCAAAATATATTTTCTGCCGTCTACCGTAATTAACGCGGATATCCTCATGAAGTGCTCAACCCGAATACTTATACTCGTACATATATACATAACTAGGGTATGAATGAGTTTGCGTGTGTATGAAGGCACAAAAATTCCCAATAATAACAATACGGCGATTTGTTAGAAATTCCAATCAATTTGTGCGACCTTCGAAATTGAAGAAATTAACTCATCCGGTGCTTAAAATTCCAACAGGCCAAATCAATAAAGCGCAAAGTCAGTGAAACCAAACGACTTTGAATGGAGAGTTCCAACATACATACACGTACGTATGTGTTGTGAATGCGTGTTTGTATGTAGGTAATAACGAAAAGGGAATGCAGAGCGATTTGAGACTCAACAAACAGCAAGCAACCGAGAAGGCACCGTAGAAGTAAGCAGAAGAACCGTGCGCGAGGAAGCATCAAAGATGAAAGTTAATTTTTTTTATTTTCCACAGTCAGCAGTTGTACAGCCACAGAGGAGGGGAAACTTATTCAGAATCAGAGGTAGAGGTAGAAGGAGCGGAATGCGCGCAGACGGCAAGATGATGACAGCGACTCCTTTGGCACCACTCGCACCGTTGGCGTCGCTCCCGTCAACCCGCATGATGATAGGCACAGCCAACAGTATGAGCATGCTGACGACATCGGCTTCTGCAAATACCGCGACAGCAGTGGCATCACTTTCAATGCAGCAGAGACACTCGCAGTTTCCAACCGAGGCTCAGACGTCAAAGTCTCAGAAAGAGCCTCAACCGGCGATACAGCTGCCGACGCCAACATTAACAATAGCAGCGCTCGAATGGCAATATTTTCAGGCGGTTTCGCTCTTTCGTCGGCGAAAATATGAAAAATGCGTTGAGGTGTGCAATGGTATGTTGCGCACTGGCCATGAAACAAATGTGCAAATGTTTACCTCTACGTTGTCGTCATCGTCATCGAAGTCGTCGGGCGAGAAGTATGAGGCTGATGCACAGTACAGTTGGGGCGGCGGTGGCGGCGGTGTCGGTGGTGGCAGCAACAACTTGAATATTGCAAACTCCTCAAGGCATGGGCGAGGCCACAACCAAAATCTTAAGTACAACAATAACAACAGCACCAACAATTCCAATGTTAATGGTAATAACAATAAAGTGAGCATGCCCACGTGGATGATGGAGGGCGTTTGGCAATTAAAAATGCGCGCACTTACCCAACGAGTCTACATCGACGACCTGGAGACGGATGATGCCTTCGAGGGGGGTAAGCATATGCCATATATGTATACATATGTATGTATGATCGTGTGTTCTTTCGAAATGAATTGCACAGTAGCCAAACAGTATAATCAACACTGTTACTTAGTTGCGTATTGGAATGATTACTGAACTGCTAATTGCCGAAAGAGCCAAGCCGATACCTTAACCCTTTTAGAGCTGTGAAAAAATGAAGTGAGGAGGCCTTTCATGTTGTGGGGATGCGGTGTGCGGTGGCAGATATACGAGTTATTCAAATTCCATTTACGCGACAGCGTGCAGGATTGCTGACTTAAATACAACCTTTCCTCCATGACCTTCCTGGCATGCCAAAGTCCTTTGTTCTACAGTTTGTTACTCGCTTAGTGCGGACAGTAGGCCATCGTCACTTTGTTTCCGGAAATGATGGACTAAATTGCAAGAAGAAAGTCGTGTATAGGAAAATTTTATTAACCTACTTTTACTGAACACTCATTGCCTCGATGGTCAGACACGAGTTATAAAACAGTTGACACATAAAAGTTGCCAATTTTCCGATTTAGTGGGTTCGCAGGGCTACGTGTATTAAGATTCATCGATTTATTTGAAATTCCAAATACCAAATACTTCACACAACTCAATACGGTACTGTTCTCCGAGTCCTTCCACTCCCTCACTGCTCAAGCCGAATCTCGTCTTTTGATCAAAACTCAAATACAAGATCCAATAGTACAACTCCAGCTCGGCTAAATACAGACAAGCAATACATATCAACAAGCATACTCGTATTCCGAGCTTGAGTGGCTTAACGGATTACAACTGCCTTGTAATATTTCAGTTGCATTCCATCGGCGGCTGCACAGCGGCACCAGCTCAGCGCCCAAATACTCATGCCACACTTCTCGCATTCCATCGTGTTCAATCACCCTGAATTTTTATTTTCATCTTGTTACTTATTACTTTTTTCCGTATTTCGGCAGAGAGACGTACACACATACTGTATACGTACGTACATATGTACATATGTACATATGTATGTATGTGTGTGGTATGACTCTGTCCGTTCGTTGTCGTTAGTGTTGTTATGTTGTTATGTTGTTTTGTTGTTGTGGTGGTAGATTTTGGTTATTGCATGTTGCATGACCTGATACCGCCCCTAGCTTGGGTACACATTTACTGGCTTGTGTATTATATTACATTCGCTGAAATGCGGGTTCGAGTACTCTCTCTGTCCTTTTCCAACCTCTTGCAGTCTTTGATTTAAAAATTGTTCATATTTACTACATACCTTCTTGCTTTTGGGCCATATCTTGTACGTGTATATAAAAACAGAGAATGAGGAAGTGGAGTTAGAGCGGATCGCCACAGCCGCCCGGCCAGGTACCTCAATTAAAACCGCATTTATACCGCGACCGAGCACGAGCACACGGCGAGCAAATTCAACAGCCTCATCGAAAAATGGCCTGTCGTTGAGCGAGGGGAGCCGCACAACGACCGCACAGAGCAACAAAAGCATCAGGCCCAAGTCGGGTATGGTAAGTGCGAGCACTCTAAAGTACCTAAATAGTCATCTTAAGATCTTATGTTATATGTACTCTCAAGGTGCGTCCCGGTACAGCTACCTCTCGACCAGGTTCTTCAGTCGGCCATCGAGGACCATCGAGGTGTGGCACAGCCTCACGCATACGTGCGACGTCGGCTGCTGCATATACGGTAGGCGATGTCACCGCCAAGCTTTATCAGGCGTCACGTCTCAATCCGACAATATATGCTGAACGAGAAGCCCTCATTAAGGCGCTCTTTCAATTTCTTTACTATCACGAGTCGGACGTGCAGAAGGCTTACTCCCTCTGCGAGGCCGTTATGGAAGTGCACAAACAAAAGCGTTCGTCCGGCTCAGCAGCCGCTGGTGCACCGGTTGACTGGTGGTGGGATCAGCAGATAGGTAGGTGTCTGCTTATATTACGCTTGCCACGAAAGGCGGAAACATTTTTAGTACAGTCTTTGGCGGTTTTCCCACATCCCGATACGTTTTTGTTGCTATCGCGGTTGTATCAGCGATTGAATGAACCCGAACGTGCACTGGAACTCATTGGCATGGCCGTAGATCGACATCCATTCAATGTGACTTTTCGCGCTGAGCAGGGCCGTATATTCGATGCATTGTCCAAACCTGATGATGCCGTGCAAATATATCGGCTCATCACTAAACTCAATCCCATACATGTCGAGGCTCTGGCGTCAATAGCTTTGAATCATTTCTACGACGGAAACCCAGAGATGGCACTTATGTATTACAGGTTTGTCAAATTTATCTAGTTCTTTCACATATAAATGGGTAATTAATTTTCTACGAAGGCGCATTCTCTCCTTGGGCACTCACTCGGCTGAACTCTATTGTAACATTGCATTGTGCTGCTTGTATGGCGGGCAAATTGACCTGGTGTTACCATGTTTCCAGCGTGCCCTATTGCTTTCAAAAACAGCTGAGCAAAAAGCGGATATATGGTACAACTTGAGCTTTGTGGCGTTGGTATGCTTTCCTAATCAAAATCTTAATTAGTTGTTAGCTTATCCATTAAACTTTCTTCTAACATTTCATTCACAGTCTACTGGCGACTTTCATTTAGCTCGTCGTTGCCTACAGCTCTGCTTAACTGCGGACGCGTGCAGCGGTGCTACCTTGAACAATCTGGCTGTCCTGGCAGCGCACTCTGGCGACTTAATGCGCGCAAAATCGTATCTCCAGGCTGCGAAAGAAGTACTGGCTAACAGTTCGGAGATCGATAGCAACATGGAGTACATGCAAGCTCACTACAAACTCTAAACCAATGACCAGCCATGAAGAGGGCACTCGAAATAACTTAACTTAATCAAAAAAAAGTAGTTTCCTTTTATTTATGAAATAATATAATAAAGTAGTATAGTCACTAAACTGTTAGCTTAATAGCAAAAATAATGTTTGTGAAATCTTAAGGAATCTGCAACCAAGCGTAAATAGCATCCAGTCCCGTTTGATCAACTGCACTAGCTTCAACTATAGTTAGCTCCTGCCGAATCTCCTTTTGGAGTTTCTGAAAAGAATATGTGATTTTGATAAGTCGACGTTATGATTTTTTTTGTCTATTTGTCCCCTAACATAATACAACGAGAGCGGCCCAGTGTAAGATAACACGAACTAGTTCAGAAATATAATTTTCTCACCGATATCTGTAGCATTAGTAAAGCTTCATTTCGCATCTGCCGGTAAGCATAATCCATCTTCGCTAGCACCAAGAGGACTCGACAACGTTGTAGTCGGGGTTCGGCCAATATTGAATACAACAGTACACCTTTAAATACGTAACATTTTAAGGGGTTAAAAATCTAAGATTCCTGAAGCGTACCTGCTGCAGAGATTTGACATAAATTTGAGGTGTCCACCACATATATGATTTTAGACACATTCTCATAATATTGGCGCCAAAGCGGTGCCATCGCTCCGCCGATTTCCAAAATTCGTATGCATTTTAATGGAGCCTTTTGTGATTTTCTTCGTGGAATTGTTGTATCCTTGCCGTTCTTTTCCATCGTTGATTCTGTTTGAGGTGTTACTTGAGTTGTATTAGAAGTGTTTACGTTTTTAGTCGGAAGATTGATTGTGAAAATGTTGATGCCGTTAGTTGGCATTGAATACGTTGTCTCGTCAATGGAGCCCGGATTCTCCAATGCTTTTAGCAGGTGTGTTTTCCCAGCTCGTTTGGGCCCGACACAAATACAAGACATTTGACTGATAAAATTTGAGTCCATAATGTGGTTAACAAATATGTTGTCTTTCGTGGTGTGGTAATCTTTATATTAAAACCCATTATTATGCACTTGTCATCGAAGAGTATTTGTTACCATGGCTTCAAATAACCGTCGTTAATACTTTGAAACGCTCGTCCAAAAAAACTTTTCCAATTCGAATTTTTTTTTTGTATGAAATTCTAATTAGAATGTTTTTCTAAATATTTCCAACACAAATTTTTAATTTTCGATTTCAAATAATTTATTGATATTAACTTAAGTGTGTATTAGACCTCATTAGGGGAGCTCACAGCGGACCATGTCTGTAGGGTATTAAATATTTTTCAATAAAAATTAGGTACGGTAACACTAAGAAATTTATTTTTAATACTCGTGAGCACCCTGCAAAAACTGACATTCGGGAACTCCCTGTGCCTGCTTGCTAATTCTTTTATTTATTTGCAACAATTTCATTGTTTTAATATTTTTGAACATCGCGACGTGTTTTGTGGATCCCGTGTGTCAGTTTAATGGTAAAAATGGGCACAAAAAGGTCGGCAACAAACTTAGTGCTAGCGCATGAAAATAAGCGTACCAAAAATGATCTCGTTGCGTACACAAACCGGGACAAAGCGTTAATGGAATCAGTAAATAAACAATTCAGGAAAATATTTTTAGAGTTGTCTTTACAGAACATTTTTATTTAGGGTGTTAGGCGAACGTCCAATTTGATGGCACCAATCATGCTATTGGAAGGCCATGAAGGGGAAATTTTCACCAGCGAATTTCATCCCGATGGTGACTTATTGCTTTCTTCCGGATTTGATAGACAAATTTGTAAGTGTGATTAATAAGAGTACATTAAAGTTGTTTAATAAATAAAATAAAATATTATTTGTAGACATTTGGAATGTTTATGGCGAATGCGAAAATATAATGGTAATGTCAGGTCATAGTGGCGCAGTTTTGGAGGCACATTTCTCAACGGATGGATCAAATGTATATACATGTTCGACTGATAAAACTGTAGCTATTTGGGACATCGTTACCGGGCAGCGCATACGTAGACTTAAAGGTCATACAAATTTTGTAAATACTGTACATTGTACGCGACGTGGTGTACAAATGTTGTGCTCAGGTTCTGATGATCGAACAGTACGGATTTGGGATGCACGAAAAAAAAATTCCGTCCACACTTTGGAAGCTCCATATCAAGTAACAGCGGCTTGCTTTAATGATATAGGAGAACAAGTAATCTCTGGAGGAATTGATAATGAAATAAAAATCTGGGATGTGCGTAAACAACAACAGGTGCTGCATAGATTGCGTGGACATACAGACACAATCACAGGAATTTCATTATCACCAGATGGTTCCTATTTACTGTCCAATTCAATGGATAATACACTGCGAATATGGGATGTACGCCCCTACGTGCCGGGTGAGCGATGCGTTAAAATATTCCAAGGACATCAACATAATTTCGAAAAGAACTTATTACGCTGTTGCTGGTCGCCGGATGGCAGCAAAGTATTGTTACAAAGTATATTTCCCAAAAGTTTTTGTTTTACTTTTTTATTTTTCTTATATTACCAGATATCTGCTGGTTCTGCTGATCGCCACGTCTATATATGGGACACGACTAGTCGGCGTATATTATACAAGTTACCTGGTCACAATGGGAGTGTTAATGACGTGGATTTCCATCGAAAAGAGCCACTGATATTATCTGCTTCCAGTGACAAGACCTTATATCTGGGCGAAATCGAAGACTAGTCCTAGTAATACATTTATGAATTAGAAGATACGCTATGTAGTTTCTTATATAATAAAATAAAACAAAGAAATTTTATAACGCTTGTATTTATATCTTTAACATGAAAGAATGTCACGTAAATTTTGTTGTGTTGCTTAGATAACATAGCAGTTGCTTACGCTTTGCACGGCGGTGGTTGAAAAGCCGAGGGTTTTTATTCAAACTTTTAAAGTGTTTATATATTTTTGAACTTTCGCAGACGGGAAATTAATTTAGGATTAATTGTTAGCAAAAATGTTGAATTTTGAATTTTATCTACACCTAATTGAAAGTTTTTTGGCCTCATAACGCTTAAATTTAGGTACCAGTTTGTACTACTGTAAATTAAAATTCTTGTGTGTACATTGTTTGTACATGAGTATCTTTATTCGAAATAGTGCATAATTAGTTTGTACAAAATGTTATTAACAATTTATTATACGGCATTTTTTTTGTTTTATAAAAATTAGAAATTTTTTCAAATTCAAAAGAGCCTTATGTTAGTTTAGTTGTTGAACGAAGATAAGAACTAAACCGTCTTGGAATTTTGTCGAGAGGGCGCGTTCAACAAATACCAGAGAATCCGTAGTCACGTTTTTCGTGAAGTTGTCCGATGTAGGGCGAGTGTTTGATGCCGAAACTGTAGGCGGGAACGTGTGAAAGATTAACCTAAAATGGTCGACATCGCTTGTAAAAATGTTTACGTCTAGTTAAATTAAACACTTAGAAATACACACATTTCTATTACTATTTACTAAAAACATACACAAACGTATTAAGATTTTTATATAATTCAATTGATCACCACAAAATCGAATAAATGCCAATGATTTTTAATGCAAACATATATATATATATATATACATAGGTACGTAGGATCTCCACACTGCCGTTATCACTATTGAGAATTGTTGAATTCTGTTTATCCGAATTGCGGCGGTGGACATGCCTGATTTAGATATGGTATGAGATAAGCTTTTCTTTGACTCAAAAATGGACTGTGATGAATTGAAAATGACGGTGCAGGACTTGATTTATACAACTGATACTATTGCCAATGCGAGAAAGATGCAAATGATTAGATATGCACATATATAAGCAGATATAAAGAAAAATTCTTTCATTTACTCAAGTACACTTACATACATACATACATATGTATGTATGTATAAATTGAGAAATAAAAAGCTCATGGTTACCTTCTCGGGACAGTGTGCGCCCGGTCCGGGTTTGTTTTGCTCATCACTCGGGTACTTGAATTTGCCGCGCATTGTGTACATAGGCGGTTTATACTTCATAACCGTGTACTCAGCATCATAGGAACCGGGGCCGGGCAGCAGTAATGCTGGTATTAGACGTGGTTTCTGTCTGCCAGCCATTGTGAAAGCCGGTGCGGAACGAATTGGACCCTCTTTACTAATACCCAAGACGGTGGGGATTTTATATACATTAGGGGCTGTTGAATAAAATAATATTATTTTAAAATAATGTGAGAATTGTTATGCAATGGACATATAAAACATACAATTAAGGCGTTAAGTTAAATTACGTATACTATATGATGAAATGGATGGATGGGTAAGTAGTCGCGCTAGAAATATATACATACATATATAATTATTAATGGACTTTTTAATTTATGTGACAAATTTATTATATATGTATACTTATATGTACATACATAGATATGGTAGTTAACATAAGAGCTGTGAAATATATGTACTTTGGCTCACAGTGAAAGTAGGGCGCATATATGTAAGAAATGGTATAAGTTTTATTTCAAAATTAAATACATTTTCCAAAAAAACATGAATGACAGTTAATAGCGGCAAATATACACATTTCACTTATGCTTTACAATATATTTATTTATATATTTTTTATGTAATTAACAACAAAAAATAACTTCACCATTAAATTGTACCTCACAGCGCAAATGATGCAGTAATAAAAAAAATTAATAAATCTAATTTTTTGACAATATTGTTCGATTCAAATCTCATATTTTCGAATCTCTCTTTTCACAACTGGCCACAGATTCTCAATCGCATTCGAATCTGGAGCCTGCGCAGGGGTTTGTACTATGTGTGGACAGTCGCAAATAAGCAAGCTTTGCACAACGCCTGTCTTGTGTTTCGGATTGTTATCTTGATAGTACCGACACTTGTCACGAATATTTAATTTTGAGGCATTTTGCAACAAATTTCTTTCTAAAATGTCCAAATACACTGTCTTATTCATAGTACTATTGATAAAACACAAATTTCCAACTCCAGAAGACGACATGTATCCCCATACCATTACATGCCCTCCACCATGTTTTACAGTGCGACGTAAATTTTGCGGTTGTAACCTAGCATTTGGTTTTCTCCATACATAGCTTTATCCATCTGATCTGAACAGGTTGAATTTACTTTCGTCTGCAAAAATTACGGTGTTCCAGAAACTTTCATCTCTATATAAGTGGTCCTTTGTAAACTTCAGCACTGACATATGAGCCATTGAAATTAGCTTCTCTGAGGATTTTTCGTATGATTTCTGGGTTACAGCTTTTTTGAAGATATTTTAGTACTTCTTTACCTAAAGCCGGAGCACTTAAGGGGGGGTTCCACGTATTTTCCGTTCAGTCCTTCGAGAATCGCTTTCGTTAAATATTTTATTATGAGCCGTTTTAGTTTTATTTAACTCACGACTTTCACGAACATAGCGTTCAATGATATGCTGAACTGTTCCTTGGCTCAATTTCACAATTTCCGCGATTTTGCGCTGACTTTTGCCATCTTTATAATGTTTTAGGATTAATTCGCGAACTTCAATACTTGTTTGGCAACCCATTTTGGTTTACACTCAACCTAAGTCAATGCTATAATGTCAAAATTATTTCATTTTACACCGAGTTTGCTCGCGATTATAGCGGTATTCATTTTGCATTCAAAAGTCGTCGATGAGACGCCGCCACAAAGGTAAATCTCTGTGCATCATTTTCGCTGTGAGGTACAATTTAATACTGAAGTTTGTTTTTGTTGTTATCATCATCAGCGTCATTGAAATGTGTATATCTGCCGCTATTACCTGGCATTCACGATTTTCTCAAATAAAACGTTCGAAAGTGAAAATTAGTTTACAAATTTCGCTTTTGTTTTATTTAAAAGATGATTCCATAATATCCTTATGTTGTAGCTTTAAGAAACGGTAGAATGAAGGATTTAGTAATTTTGCAGCGCAGCAATTTACTTGATATTCTTAAATGAACTTTACGTAAATTTACCATTTAAACACATATCTATGTACATATATGGATAAGTTTATACACAAATATCGCCCCATACGAACTGAGCCTGGAGCTTGCTGCCTTACCTTATAATCTTTTCACGTGTGGCATTTGCCTCCACGACATATTGAACTGACGAAGTTTTCGTTGACGTAGTTGTTGTAACAGCGGTGCCATCCGAGTGCACTACTGTCTTGGTGTCCGAATCCACAGACTTTGACGCTGTCGCGTCGGCTTTGCCATGCGCAGTACAAACTTTCTTACCCTTATCCGAAACACCGTTAGTAATCGAACGGGTCGTTGTTGTGACAGTAGTCGTGGTCACATTAGAACCTCTATCGGATGAGTGATCTGCAGTGCCATTGCTCACCGTCCCCTTGGTATAGTTCTGTGTGGTGATTGTTTTTGTGCTGCCACCGTTTTGCTTGCGAATCGATTTGTTCGTTTCATGACTGCCGACGCTAGCACTTTGCGCGTCCATTTTTTGCCTTGTTATTGTTGTGCTGAGATTGGCGGCAGATGTGCGTTTTTCAACATTATTGGTGCAACTATCGGTTAAGGTAACCGTTATGTCGGACTTTGCGTCCTCATCGTTATCTCTTTGCTGAGCTTGATTGGTGCGTACTACAGTGGGAACGTGATTAAGTAGAGAAATACTTAAGTGCGTGTAATATCTATGTGTGGGTGTTCGCAAAATAAATATTAGAAAGTTGGTGATTTAAATAGTGGGGTATGAAGTGTTTAAGGCCAAGTGATTTGGATATGATTGTGTGGATATATGTACATCTATACTTATTTATACTTACCAGGGCTTGCTAAGCGGCGTTCTCGTCTTTGTAAAATGCGATCTTCAACATAAGCGCCCTTTGGCAGTGCTGAATATCCAACACACACACACATACATAAACGTGAAGCAAAAACAAAAGCAATGAAATGGAAAGAAGTAGGAAAAGAAGCACATAAAAGCATAATAAATATTTACACAATAACTGAAAAAATGTACTTATGCTATGTTCAGATAGGCGCCTAATTGACAATTAAGGCAGTCACACCTTTTTGACTCTGCGTCCTTGAAGTGAGACTTACTCTCGCCATGGATTTAAAAATGAAACTGTCAACAGTGTTGCCAGAGCTTCTTTTTTTTTTTTGAAGTAGCCTCCCCGCAGCTCTTTTGAAGGCCCGAAGTGATCACATCATGAAGCTGATTAGGTGACCCTCTCTGGCAACACTGACTGCAAATATTTTTAATTTAAATTTCTTAAATCATATTTTATTTTTTTTCAGCTTTACTTTCCCGCTTCCAGATATTATGGTTAAACTTCTGGCAACTCGAAAAGGTTTATCTCAGTTGAAGACCCTCACCAGAGCTTTTTAATGATGAAATAAAATATTGTAAAATCATATAAGTCTTTGTGAAGTTCGCAGACAGACTATCTAATACTTATAGATTAAATTAATTAGTATATAAATTCAATCAAATTGAGTGATCTGTATGAACACCAAGCTGGATAACGAAATTTGACGCTTCATTCCTTCAACTAACTGAGCGGTGGCTAGCAATGCAAACTGACATTCTGAAAGCCAGAAATCGACCAACATCCAAAATTAAAGAAAATTCATTTGCCTAAATGCGGTCGGCATTCGGAGGGGAATGTCAAGACCTCCGAGTGAACTTCTGGCATGAAATCCATCGGCCTTTCAGAGGCGACTTGGAATAAACTTTAGGTTCCTTCATTTGTTGGAAAAAGATTAAGACGTACACCACAAATCGAGGGAGGAACTCGGCGGTATGAATCACTTATTATTATTATTATTATTATTAGAATGCAATAAGGGAAATGCTGATGTTTTACTCACCTGGCATGGGCCGCACCTTGAGGCCAAACGTGAAAGCAGGTGATGAGTCTAATTTACAGTTTTCGGAACGATAGTGACCCGGTGCTTTGAGGGTAACGAAAATGAAAATCAAATGTATACAAAAATCAAAAAATATTGTATGTACAAAGCCCGAACCCCTTAGAGGATATATTTCATACTCGGAAAATATCGACAACTTACCTGGAGTACATGAGGAGATCTTCTCCTTGGGCTTAACACCAAAAGTAAAGGAGGGCGTGTGATCGAGGGAGTGTTTTTCTGGTTCGTATGCAGTGGGTGCTACGGAAGCAAGATTTTCATGCCAGTTTATATAAATATATACAAATATACAAGTGCAATGATCAAATTGAAATATTTACATATACCAACGAGCATATAGTTTAGAATAAGAAGGATTTGTGCAAATTACATAGTGACTGCTCCTAACCAAAATAACTACTCAGAGTACTTGATCTATCGGTGGGACTAAATTTCGTGCCTTACCTGGGGTTTCACTGACCACTTCCCGTGTCACTTTTAAGCCAAATGTATATGCTGGTCCTCGATCCAAATTAATTTTCTCAAACTCATATTGTCCTGGCGCCGGTGATTCGCTTCTAAGTTTGGTGTTGGTCTTCATGCCGAAAGTGTAAGCTGGTGCATGGTCAAGTTTGCATTCTTCGGGTTTGTATTCGCAAGGAGACGGCGTATGTTCTATGTGGCTAAGGTGTTTTCTCCCACTAATGGTAAATGCTGGCTGATGATCTAGACGAACCTTTTCAGGGTAATATTCACCCGGAGCTGGTGTATCGCTTATTTTATGGTCCTCTCTTCGACCCAGAATGGTGAAGGCGGGTGAACGGTCCAGATTTACTGACTCGGGAGCGTAATCACCAGGGCCTGGTGTGTCTATGGTTATTGTTTGCCGGCGTCTGCCGACTATAGTAAATGCAGGTGCATTGTCTAAACGAAACTTCTCTGGCGAATATTCTCCAGGGGCTGGTGTTGAGAGATCAAGGTTCTGTACGTGCTTGCCACCGAATGTGTATGAGGGTGTATTGTGCAAATTAACCTTTTCAGGGAAATACTCTCCTGGAGCAGGTGTGTCATTGCTGATTTTCGGATCGTGTTTTCCTGCCATCGTGTACGCCGGAGTATGATCCAGCCTAACCTTCTCAGGACAATAGTCTCCAGGAGCAGGGGTGTCGCTTGGCTTTTTGAGGTCATAGCGTCCACCCATTGAGTAGGAAGGTGTGTGATCTAGTCTGACTTTCTCAGGACAATAGTCTCCTGGAGCAGGTGACTCATTGCTGACTTTCGGATCGTGTTTTCCTGCCATCGTGTACGCCGGAGTATGATCCAGCCTAACCTTCTCAGGACAATAGTCTCCAGGAGCAGGGGTGTCACTTGGCTTTTTGAGGTCGTAGCGTCCACCCATTGAGTAGGAAGGTGTGTGATCTAGTCTGACTTTCTCAGGACAATAGTCTCCTGGAGCAGGTGTCTCATTGCTGACTTTCGGATCGTGTTTTCCTGCCATCGTGTACGCCGGAGTATGATCCAGCCTAACCTTCTCAGGACAATAGTCACCAGGAGCAGGGGTGTCACTTGGCTTTTTGAGGTCGTAGCGTCCACCCATTGAGTAGGAAGGTGTGTGATCTAGTCTGACTTTCTCAGGACAATAGTCTCCTGGAGCAGGTGTGTCATTGCTGATTTTCGGATCGTGTTTTCCTGCCATCGTGTACGCCGGGGTATGATCCAGTCTAACCTTCTCAGGACAATAGTCACCGGGAGCGGGGGTGTCACTTGGCTTTTTGAGGTCATAGCGCCCACCCATTGAGTAGGAAGGTGTGTGATCTAGTCTGACTTTCTCAGGACAATAGTCTCCTGGAGCAGGTGTGTCATTGCTGATTTTCTGGTCGAGTTTTCCTGCCATTGTGTAAGCTGGGGTATGATCCAGTCTAACCTTCTCGGGACAATAGTCTCCAGGAGCGGGGGTGTCACTTGGCTTTGTAAGGTCGTAGCGACCACCCATTGAGTAGGAAGGTGTGTGATCTAGTCTGACTTTCTCCGGACAGTAATCTCCAGGAGCAGGAGTATCATTGCTGATTTTTTCTGCGTATTTTCCTCCTATCGAATATGCTGGGGTGTGATCTAAGCGCACCTTCTCCGGACAATAGGCGCCAGGGGCAGGTGTGTCATTGGCCGATTTGAAGTTATGCCGACCGCTAATAGAATAGGAAGGGGTATGATTTAGTCGAACCTTCTCCGGACAATAATCTCCCGGACCAGGAGTTTCACTAATTTGGGCGGTTTCATGCTTCCCGCCTATTGTATAAGCCGGAGTGGTATTCAAACGCACCTTCTCAGGACAATATGCGCTCGGCGCTGGAGAATCGTTGAGTACTTTGGTCTCATATCTGCTAGAGATTGAGAATGCAGGACTGTGATCGAATCGAACTTTCTCTGGTTGATAATCGCCAGGTGCTATGGAAGTAGAGATTAATAAGAGTAGTTTCGATGAGTCCAAAAGGCGCGAGCGGGGTGCTTACACACATACAAAGATACTTTTCATAAACACAATCAAATGGTATTGTGTGTGAGCTTTTATTTTGGTTAATTGGTTAGGGATGCAAGCTATTGTTTGTATGTTTGTATATTTAACTAATTATGTGAATATGAATATGCGAGCATATTCAATTCTACCACAACATGTTTGCTAATCTAATGATCTTTGTTCGGTGTTTGAAACGAAAAGAAAAAACGCATTACCTGGAGTTCTCTCATTGGCTCTGAGCTTTGTTCTTCTACCAAATGTGTAGCTCGGTGATTTTCTTTTAATAAATGATACCTCAGGGCGGTAACTATTTGGCGCTATTTATGTATGTATGAGTGTTACCAGCATTACATTAAGTAATTGGTTCGATAATTAACCGTTGAATTGAAAGAGAAATAAAAATGTGGATATTAAAATGGGTGAAGAGCGCGTCGAAGAGAGTGTGAAGAAGAAAATCGGTTGAAAAGAACATGCAATCTACTAACTTCTGAACGCCACTGACAGATTTGTACTTTCAGTGATTCCTTTTACATCGCATAAGTAATATTTAATTTGTTGGAAAACTCTTAATTTATATACAACAGTATATACACGTACATACACAATTGGCATCTAAGGGTTTCTTTCTGACATGTGGTTTTTAAGGAGAAATAAAATATATAAAATTCAATGTTATGGCAAAAAACATGGCCCTACGATCAGGATAAACGTTTGCCATTGAGTTTTAAATGTGATTTCGGACAAGCGAACCCCAGTAGAGAGGCTTAGCTTAGTGGCAATAACGATCCAATTAGTCCCTCAGATGGAGTTAATAGTCTCTGTCTGCGTAGGAAAGCGACTTCACAGACATAACTCGCGAAAAACAGTTCAGGTCTGCAATGCGAGAAAATGCGCTCACCAAAAGTTTCTTTAAATAAATTGATTGTTCCATTGGCTGTGTGACATCTAGGGCCGTCTTTTTGGGATCGACATCCTCCAATCCTAGTACCCACTCGTTTGTAGCCCGTTCACGGAGGGTGCGACGCACTTGATGATCGCTAGACTTTTATTCTTGCACGAAAGGGATTTCATACGCTTTTGCGGTTTTCCCCAAAGCTTACGTAACGTGGACGCGCAGTGCACAGTACCTCTGAGGATACGCATTTTTCACTAGAGTAAACGTTGTGTGAAACAGATCCACTGCTCAAACTATCGAGTCTGCTGGGCGATTTTGTTGACCAAACCATTATTTTGGTAATTAATTTGCACGATTTGGAAACGTTGTTCCGGAGTGACTGTGTTCATTATGAACAAATTTAGTATAAATCAATTAACAACGGGAAAGTAATTGCCACATGAAAAACCACACGCGAAAGAAAACCTTTTGCTTAATCCATGTTTGACGTAAAAAATAGAATTTTCATTTAGTAGTAAAAAGAGTTTTAAGGACAACAACGGTAAATTATAACTTAACGGATTAGCAAGCGGTATTTGAGAACCTCATACGAAATGTTTCTAAAACTACATTCTTTTACGAGCTTAAGCTACCAAGATTTGTTTGATTCCATTTCTAAACTTCACCCTCAAAAATAAAAATTAGTATTGATTAGTCTTTTCGGTGTTAAATCAATCGAATTTTGTAATTAAGATAATTAACTAACTGGTTAATCAGCTTTCAATGGGGTTCTAGGATCGATTAGTTATTAACTGTAAATTCTGTTGCAAGTAATTTTAAAAATGTAATTAAGATTTCCAAATGACTCTTCAAAAATCGGTAATTTCCATGCTAATCGGAGCTTTACAAATTCTTTCGTTGCCAAGTCTAAAAGAAAAAACCAAAAAAATAACCTAAAAGGTGCGACGTAATGAAAAGTTTAATATGAAAAATTTGTAAAATGAAATTGAATGTTGACAGTACAAAATAACTCGGCCCATTTTTTTATTTCAAAAATTGTTTTTATTTTTTATTAAGACCCTTTCTTTGCTAGATTTCAAGCCGCGCTTCGGCATCTCTCAGCTTGAATTTGTACAGCACCCAAATTCCTTCATTTGAATAAATTCAAATTACTTTAACCGAGAAGTAATTTGCTCAACGATTCTGGGAGTTCAATTTGCTTTTATCCCGAATAGTGATTCTATAAAGCCTGGGTCGGAAACAGTTAGGTGTGAAACTTATCCAATGAGAGAGGCATTCGCTTCTAAGATCGGCCACAACTGGCAGGTGAAGCCATCTTTGTAGAACGAACCGAATTAATTTGTACTCCCAATAGTATTTTTTTATAAATGTATCGTCTACATTACTTACTTATGAAAGTACTTAAATACATACACGTATATATATATTTGCTACTAATTTGCGAAAAGTTTACTTCTAAGAGAATTACAAAAACTTGTACGGTCTACGTTTGCGTATGCATGTTTAGAGCTTTTGGGAAGTATTTATGCACATTCCCCCATTTGTTTATTGTAGAATATATTATATATTTGTAATCTAAGTGCACTACGCAGCCTAGGTGAATGCTTTATGTTCAAGAATAAAAGAACAAATATACTCGACTACATTGCGAAAAAGTCAACGAATTTACCTCCTATCTTACGGTCTGAATGGGCATTCTTTCAACAGGAGCTTTTCTCTTGAGTACTACAACTGTTAACTAACTCACTGCCAACTCATTGTTGATCTTCATCATATAAATTTCCAAGATGTTTGCTTTCCTTTTAGTTCTAAATAATACTGAAACGGTGAAGGGTTATAATGTAGCTCTATATGACCATTGAACCACATACCAGCAAGGGGTTTTAATATTAGATGCTCTTTGATGGTGTTAAATTCAATAAAAATGCAGCAAAGCCCATTCCATCCTCATCCATCCCCATCCATATATTCATCATTCCATTCATTTATTCAACTCAAATGCTTAGTACCAATAGCAAAGGCTTGGTGACATAAAAAACCGTTTCTAGAACTTACCAGGCGTTAAGCTCGGCTTCTCCTTTGGCGGCTTTTGACCGAAAGAATATTTGGGCGTTGCATCGATGATCGCCTTTGCCGCACGATCCACATCGTATTCACCAGGTGCGGGCGTTTTGAAGAGTGCCTTATCTTTGGGGCGGCTACGTAAACTTGCTGCGGGGGGTGTCGCCTTGCCTTTCATGCCTAAGCCAGTGACATCATATTGTGCTGGTCCAGGCCCAATGGAATCGAAGTTACTACGATGTTTTTGGCCAAAAGTAAATGCTGGAGCACCTGGTTTCTTGGAATCGGGCACCTTTTTGCCTGGTGTGGTAAAAAAAGGGGAATGATACGAGGCTTTCTGTTTGCATTTGTTTACCCAAATTCCATACATACCGACTAATGTTGGTAATTGCACACACGCTGGTCCCGGACTAGCAGTCTCCGCGGCGATTTTGCCGCGGCGTACAGTCGGTGTCCATGGTCTCTGTTCTATGCCGGTACCCATGATCAGCAGTCGCTTTTTATTTACTGGTTCACAGGGTCCGTTTAGCTTCCTTGTTTTTGCTGCTCTTATCTGTGTGGAATGGACAAATAAAGGGATTCTAAGTTCGACTGTAGCTGACTAGTTTTGACCTCATATATTACCCTTGCAACCATTTTGTTATTAATATCTACTGCTTAGACAATATTTGCAATAAAAATATGTACGTAAATACTTTTGGGTTTGTGACTTTTTGTTTTCTTTTTCCAAGATGTTTCAAATATTTTTGAAAATAGACTTTTTATACTTTCAAAGTGAATGCGAAGTTAGGGCTTATGCATGATTCAATATGTGAAGGCTTTTTAAATAATGATAGGGGAGTTTTGACACTCCCTTACAAAGGGATGCATTTTGGAAAATAGTAGAAAGGGGAAGAAAATATGTAACCTTTAAAAACAAAAACAGGGAAAAGAGAGCACGACGTAAAAGAAGGACGATTTGACAAAGTATATCCTTAATAGGCGCCTGTGGCGTACTCACCGCTACGCTGTGCTTGGCGATTTTAATGTCAGGGTGGGCTCAGAGAATTTTTTTGGCTCAACTGTTGGAAACCCCTCAACACAATAGACAATCGAACGGTTTTCTATTCGACTTGCACTCCTGCCCTCAGAGAGCACTGCTCAACTACTCGGTATAAAAAACCTTTGGAAAACTTTTTTAAAGCTGGTACGATGAGCTCTGCCGTACAGTAGTGAAGAGAAAGCAGGCAGCCTACCTCGTAAAGTTTCGATCGACCACAACACATATGGGGTGAGTTAGATACCAAGAGCTGAGGGGTACCAAGACGCATCTGCAGGGAAAAAAAGTAAGAGACCGAAATGCGTTATTACGAGGAGCTTGAGAAGCACCGATAGGTTTATTGCTCGAAACTTCTATGAAAAGATACGGCGACTTACGGAAGATTTCAATACCCCACAGGGATGATCTGGTGACGAATGCCCATAGTACCGAATTTATGAGTTTATGGACCTGCCTGCTGAATGGTAGTGAAAATGAAACACCAGGAGATGCCGAATCCTATTCTCTAATCGATGACAATGGAACAAATGTTTCATTGCCCAAATATGAAGCAGTCTGAATAGCAATTGCCCGAAAAACAACAAAGCATTAGCCGATGGACTGCCGGCCAAGCTATTAAAATACTGCGGCGAAGAACCGATAAGGTGCATGATATGCTTCTTAGCGAAATATGGTCTGATAAAACCATCCCCCACGATTGGAGCCTAAGTATCACAAGTAAGTTCGGATAATCCACAAAAAGGCGAACCTCACTAATCGTCAATGCGCCAATCGTGGGATATGCCCGACTGATACCGCATATATGGTCCTAATGACCGCAAAATGCCAAAGACTAAGGTCGACCTTATCAGTGTACCGTTAGAAGCCACACGAGGTTTCAGACAGCGAAATTTCTCATCGTGTGCCTTTTTAAATTTGTTGCAGGCGAAAATAATACGAGCTACTGAGTAGAACAGGAAGGGTACAATCTTCTATAAAAATGCACAGCTGCTGCCGTGTATAAATATGTATAATAAATATAATATGTATGTAATTATAAAAAGTTATTGTTACAAATATGCAAACGCATACAATGATAGCTAATGATATCTAAAGGTAGAAGCCATACTCGTATACCTACAGACCTTGCGCACTGAACAGCTGACTGAAGGGCAATTTCGTAGAATACCGTTACTATTTATTTGTACATAGTTACATATTATTTATTACTTTTATAACGCATACATTCTTGTAAATAAAAATATACATTTGTATGCATGTATGCATAAAAGTTGCAAAGCAATTGCATATACATACACACACACATCATACTTGTAAATAGGAACGTTACAACTGCAAAGGAATGTCGTGATAAACGCCGAATTTTCTAGGACAACCGTTATTGTAATGGCGCAGTGAGGCAATGGAAAACAAAGTAAACACAAATTTTAAAGTTTGCTTTGTTTCCTTACTTCTTAACGGTAAATTACCAAAAAGAAGAATTATGGGAAAATGTTACCTCCATTGTGAGCGCAAAGGTGAGCGACATAAGGAGAGACAATAGAAAAGCAAACTAACCAAAATTGCCATGCCTACAGCTGATCGACGATTTTAACCACTAAAAATATTTTGCCTGATTTCAAAAAATGTCAAAGTAATGTCAAAGATAAAACATTTCATAAACAATAAAATGGAACCCATTGACATTATGCATTTTTTAATTTTTGACAGATTTAATTTATTTTGTCTGTGGTGAATTTAGATATGGTGAAGTTGGTAGCACAGCTGTTTTCTTTTTCTATTGACTGTGGTTTTCCAGAATGCCTTCCAAAACAAAAAGTGAAATGAAAAATAACTGCTTTCATCTTCATGATTTTTTTTCATATGCTTATGCATTCGGGAACCAGCATATGCTGGGGTTTGAGTTTGGCTTTAGTGGTAGAAAGTTAGCTTGCGAAATGAAACTCATAAATCTGCAGTTGATTGAATTGGCATTAGAGATTAATCATTTTTCCAAGATTATTCTGCGATTTGTCTGCACGAGTAGTACGTTTTTGGGCAATTATTAATATCTTTTTGACAGTCGACTTTTTGGCATGAAAAAATTTAAAGAAAATTTAAGTAAAGGAGGAAAAAACATAATCCCCAATCAGAAATTAAATTTTTTATAGAGCATAAGTTAGTTTGGTGATAAACTACGCACATCAAGAATAAAACTTAGTGAGTATATCGCATTAAAAAGAAGTTGATTTTGATTGCATTGGAATACGCCTTTTGAAGTCAAATTGCTAATCTAACCTTAATAACAAAAAAACGTGCAACTTAAAATAGTATATACATACATATGTTATGAAGAAAATAAACTCCGATACAAGCACAAATGTTTGTTGGGTTATATTAAATACAGAGTCTTTTATTGACTGCCCTCATTTAAACTTAACATACTTACACACATACATAAAAATATTTTTGATGTTCGGTTGTTAGTAGTGACGTGTTTGGCCGATTTCGGGCGGCATTGCAATTGAGGTAGGTTGTCTTGTTTATTGCCTGTCAATTTAGTGTTCCTTAAGCTAAGACAATATTTACAGGCGAAGCGAAATTATAAAATATTTTTTATGCACACTATGAACACATGAGTAGGTCACCCCCTTAAAACAATAACACTACTTACATATATGTATGTATTCGTATTTACCCCCCGCTTGTATTCATCCACCTGAGAACACCCAATTTCAGCTTCGAGAATAAAAATCCAGAAATTACCAAGCACTTTGTCAAACAATTATCCAAAACCAAAAAGTAATAAAGGAATAATGGGCAAATTGTGTGCGCACGGAAATCAGGCATTGAGCGATTTGGTTATGCTTCAAATGCGTGTACCGTAAGGTAGGTAATCAAGATAAAATAAGAGTATTGGAGAGAAGGTTTTTATAAAAACAAATATATTGTGCGAGTTTCACATTCGAACAAGTGTGAAAGTTCGGAGAAGGGGAATACTGTTCGGTCACGCTGAATCAAGATTTGCTAGCCGTTTATAATAATATATGTAACAAAATAAAAAGGACACTTTGGGCGGATTTTACTGTTTTGGGAACAGCACTGCGTATACGTAACTAAATTGTGCTAATACTTTTGAGCTTAGTTATTATTACGCAGTCAAATAAGCCGAGATGTTAATAGTGCACATTACCATAAGGGTGGTGAACTCGAGTCATTCGTTCGTTTTAAATATGGACCGTTCGTAGGCGGCTTAGAACGTACTTTGGAAAAACCTTGACACGCTCACCTCGAATTAGAAGAGGAGCTCGGTCGAGAATCGCTGATATATATAAATATAATTTTTGTTTCCAATCGTATGCAACTCGTTCGAATGTATGTATGTATATTGTGTCTGAAAATAGGATCCAAACTACTGCGTGTTGGCAAACCGTCTTTGCCGGCTACTACCATATCGCTCCCTATTGAGTTCGCGTCTATTTCAATAATTCACATTAAGACTTGAACTATCTGCATATATGTTATGATCACTCTGAAGTTAATCCAAAAGCGTAAAACTGAGGCGATTCGAAGCTCAACGGGTCCGCTAGTATTTATATATATTTATTATATATATGAATTTATATCTTTCTATATCTGTTAATTTAAATCGCATGGGATCTTGACCTAAATTCTCATTTAATGCTAATTTGGTCATAAATTATTTGATTTATGCATGTATGTATGGAATGTATATATAAAAAATTATATATTTGTCTGTGATTGCCCTCCAAGTGCTTAAGGATCGCAAACTCGTAAGAATAAGTTGCTCATACGCCCAGTGTGGCCCAAAGCTTGGCAAGCAAGCAAGTATTTTTTGTTTACTATTGTATATACTCGGTACATACATAGTGCATTTTTTATGTATGTGAATGTTGAACAGCGGTCATGGTGAACTCGCACATAAAATAAAATTTTGTCGCCCACATAATTCGCTGTTAGCTGTTCAAGACTTGTTTTAATGTCATCAAAGATTACGTTACATTATGAATCAGGTTTCCAGCTGCTCACTTATACATATTCACAAACATATTTATATATATAACTATAGACATGTCTATGAACGTCTTTTCTAAGCTAAATAAGGAGTTGCGCTAATTTCGAATGTAATGAAAATATTGTTTGAACATAAAACTCAATGAAAAAATTGTAATTCAGAATAGAAAAACCAAAAACTTATAAAAAAAAAATTGGCAGACAAATTAAGTAAAGTGCGTAGGATGCGAAGAAAAAGGCTGTTGAAGAAAGTTTTCTTTTGAGTTTATTCTAAAAAATTTTTTAATTACACACATATGTACATATATGAACCTGAGCATGTGTTGGCAAATAGCGAATAAAATAATTATATTTATATTATATTATTTTAGGCATTAGCAGTGAATGAGTGGGCTGCACTGTGACTAAGAATTGATTGATGAACGAGGCCAAGACCTCTAAGTTTATGAAAACTGTCAAAATAATTGGAAAAGTTTAATTTCGATGGACTTGAGGTATTCAGATCTGCCTTATTCGGATGAAAATAAAAAGCTTTTTCGTTTCGTTAAATACACTTAGGTCTATTAAGGTTTGCTAAATTGTAATTATTTTTATTTGCTAATGATAAACAGCAACCCTAATGCCCACTAATATGTTTGTCTGTATGTACGTATTCTTTATTTCTATGACTTCACATTGAAATTATACAAATAATGGGATTTTAATTCGTGTTTTTAATCGCCTATTTAAGATGAGGTAATATACATATATATATGCGTACCACATATAAATAGATACATAGAAATATATAAATATATGTATGTATATTTCGAGCGTAATCGAAAGACCGAAGTCGACATTAAACACAATGCAAATGGCAAACAAAAAATTGTTGGAACAAAAGAGTAAAAGCACCAAAAAATAAAGGTAGCTTGCGAAAGAGTGTATAAATAACAAATTGCTAGATATGTGCATATGTATATACAATAAGTGTTTATTAAGCAAAATGACGTCAATTTTAAAGTTTAAAGTAAGTTTTTTCAAACTCGCAATAAATTTGTACATACATACAAGTATATTGCATTTATGTATATCAAAACTATTTTAAAGTAGTAGGTAGAGGTTCCTTTCACATATCTTTTCCATTATTTAATGATAGTACTCCGTATGTCGCTACGAATGGGGACACCTACAGCTTAGACTATGCCGCTTCCGAGCGGCTGATGGTCATTTTTACGAGGACCCTTTATTTCATGTCCGAAATCGCGAATTCAAATCACCACTTTTGAAGCATCGGAACCACTCTCTGTATTACTTATTATCGCTCCAGATTCACCGTAAACTTCCACACGTACTAGATGGGCTTCAGCTGCATTTTTCGCTCACTCAAAATATGAAATCAAAACTCCCCACAAATGATGTTTTTTTTTTCAACACAAATCAATGCGGACATGACATGATAAGAGGCAAAAAACCATGTTGTTGTCAGAAACAGACACTAAGGCATACTAATTATTGTTGACAGATGTGAAACCTTTCCAATGAAAGAGAAAATCGCTTCCAAGATCAATTTGTACAACCGATATAATTTCCTTTGCAACTTTGTTGTTGCAACTTCCACATAATTTCTCTATTTACCCCCCATTCAGTCGTCACGGAAGAAAATGCTTTAGAGTGTCATTGACGTGTTGCCCCAGCAATTGGTTGGTTGCCAAATACAAATACGAGTAGATTAGGCCTCTGCAACCGGTAGCACAGATGCGTACACACATACATATATACACGAACATATGGGCAACGTATGGATGCATGCAAATGAATGTTGTTACATAGTTACATAGTTAAATGCACCAATTTTATTGTGATATATATGTATATATATGTATATATTAGGGTGCCTCTTATGTTTTTCTCCAACAGTTCAAATAACTTTTTGTATAAGGTTTTTTAAGGTGGTAAAGAGGCCGGATTCTAGGCTGCTGGAGGACAAAAAGTGCAGGGAATGTGTGGAAACAGTAGAGGAGTAGAACAGGTTATCTGTGAGTGTCCAGGATTCGGCAGATAAGGCTAAGATTACTTAGCGCAAGAAAGCTATAGGACCTTTTAACGGTAGCGGTGCAGCTTGTTCGTAAGTACTGTCAGGGTCAGCCAGTTCAACCTAACCTAAAGTTAGGCTTTTTATATAGCATCGAACTCATGGCTATACTGAGTTAGCTGGCAATAAAAACCAGAAAGTTATGTGTTTCCATGCGTACGAGAAAGCGAAGAGCGCCTTCGGACATTCTTAACATTAAATTTTATTTGTTTTGTTAACATCCTATTGTATAAATATTTAACTACATTTGTATGCACGAGTATATGTAGTTGGCCACATGGCAATAAAATGCGTTTACGGCTCAGTTTACTTATTGAACTTCGTTGAGTGCGTTGGAGGTGCGGAAATTGCATTTTGCAATTACTCATTTGAGAAAGAACTTATTCGGGTATTAAGATTATTTGCTAGCAGCAAATAAAAAAGAGATTCGATAAGAATCGAGCTTCACTTCAAAACGCCAAACGCCTGTTCTGCGTCGAATTCGGCGTGTTGGCTCTGTTCTTGTGGTGCCGTGAGCTCATAAGCGGGAAGTGGTAAATGAGATTGGCTATGAAATCTGTAGACCGGTTTCTTATGCTGATGTCATACATTAATTTTGTTTGCATTTCATTACTTACAGATATACATACACGTACAAACATACATAAATGAGTATGTAAATGTCCGTTTATAGGCTATAATAATTACTATTTTTTATAAATATATATATATATATATGCGAGTATATGGATGAGCGTGCAAAATACTTTTTAATAATATATTTATTATTTAAATTGCAAGTTAAATATGTATGTATGTATGTACGTATTGCACGGCTTAAAACCACATTAAAAACAAAAATACTACACTTTTCAAGTCATGATTAATTCAAACTACATACGTACATATATTTATGTACATACATATGTACAGATAAGAATACACATATGTATGTATGTATGTGCATACCCCTACTAAAATGGTGCTATAATTAATATCAATTACAAATAATAAATATTGTGATTCTGATTCTAATTTATATTTTTATTTTATTTACAACAAAAATTATTGCTTTTGTCGATTATGAAATCACCAAATTATTCAGAAAACAAAAGATGCTTCAGTTGTCAGCTTAGTACATACTATGTATGTGCATACATACGTAATGTATTAACTCAGCTTCGCTCTTTGCCATAAAACGAAAATCTCGAAAGAAAATTAAATTCTTTCCAACTGAGATTTTACAAACTTCAAGATAAAAAGATACTGTTACAAAAGAAGAATTTCAGCATTTTTATCAAACTGAGCAAAGAAAAGGTTCAGCAGGCAAATAGTTTAATTCATGTAAAAGACAAAAATCGCTCTATGGCTAAATAGTTTTACATGCGTACATATATACATGCACATATGTATATTCTATCTAATTAAATATTTTTTTTTTTTTGACAAAAGAGCATCTCATTTTAATTAAATAACATTTTGATGACCAAGTATGGCAGTGTTGTTGTTGTCGCTGTCATTAATGATAGGACAGATTGTCACAACCGTAATAAATAAATCTCTTCGCAATAAAAAAAGTTCATTATTATAATGAGATATTTACTTATTTGGGCATATCCGCTACTCTGCCACAGCATTCACATGCATGTATTTATGTATGTATGTATGCACATAAATCTAAGTATGTACTTATTTGCATATGAACATATACGTATGTACATCTCTATGTATGTATATTGAAGCGAGTAAAGGCTTTCTAATTTCAAAGCCAAGCTATAAGTTTGCAAAGATACATACATACATACATACATACATATATTGTTTTCGAAAATAATTTCAAAATGCGCGGCGCAAACGCTTGTAGGTGAATACAAAAGCAGCAACAACAATCACTAAGCCCAACCCTTCCTATGCAGTTGACTGCAATCAGTCAATGAACCGAAGAAGGAAAACAACAATACATGCACATCTAATATACATATATATATATATATATATATATATATATATATATCTACATACACATGCAACTGTATACGCGCATACATACATACGTGCATGTTCACATGTAAATGTGCATTAATTGCATTACAATTTTCATGTAAGCAGTGCACTCCCCTCGCCCCCCTCGCACCCCTTCCGCACCTCCAAGCAAGTCTGCCCACAGTGGCAATGTCAAAAAGCCGCCCACTTTTCCGTCTATCAACTGGTTTTCTTCGTTTTCGTTTATATGTATGTACATAAGGGAATGTATGAATTCATGAATAGGTGTGTGTGTGTGTGTGTATGTGTGTACTTAAGTGCCCGTTGCATGTGGCGCTGAATGAAACTCACACTTACCTTAATTACCTCTCCGCAAAAACTCTGTTTGCCAGGGGGGGTTAGTAGGTTTCCTCAAAGCCGTTCGCTGTCCTTGCGCTTGGCGAGCCTTCAGCGAATTGCAGACACTAATTCCGTTACAAAAAACTCTTTCCCTGCGTATGGATGGAAGATGAATGGATTGTACACGCTGCAATTCGGCTGAGCAGTGCTCGTTGAGGGGGGGTGTGGCTGGTTGGATTGTTTGTTTGTAAATAAAGTCGATATTTAGACAACACTCTAAGTTGTCGTTTGTATATTCGTTAGGATCAATTAATGTACAATTTTTAATAGTAATTTTCGTTTATTTTTTGTTTTTGTAAATGTTTTCGTTTTCGCACGCACAGTTGTTGTTGTTGTTTTAGAACTATTTTTTTTATTAATATTATTACTATTATTATTATATTCTTTCGTACAGCCTGGAAGTTGATTTGATGGCTGATTGTGAAGTGAAAGAATTTTGTTTGTATCGCGATTTTCGGCAAACTTGTCGGATTGGCGGTTGAGCTACAACTGACACGTTTAACGCTAGCGTTGCGGGCTTTCGTCTTTCTAGCGAGCTTCTAGCCGCTTGTAGTTAGTGTGTTTGCCTTTCTTCTAACAGTTGAGAGCTTTCGAAAAGCTTCGCCACTCAATCGGCAAGGTGGTTGTGTCAAATCTAAATTGGGAAGTTATATACTGTGTTTCAATTCAAATTCAAATACAATAATTGTATGTACGCTCATAAATTAGTAACAAAATGAGGCTCAAAGAATGACACAACATGCTGATGTAGCCATGTCTGTCTGTTATATGTTGGTCCGTGCAATGGGTAACCTGTGACTGATGTGGAAAATTTGGTGCAGATGTTTCTTTGGTTTTGCACTTGAGGCAAATTTTGAGCTGAAGAAAGGTGGCTTTCACCCTGTTCATCAAACTTAACATCTAACGATTCTCTTGATATCTATATGAAAAGTGAACAGAAGGAGAAGTGAAACTCAGGAAAAACTCATTTTAAACTCTTTCATAGATAAAAAAATCTTTGTTTTCATGTTTGTTTCCGCTGATCTCCAAAACTAGCCGGCGGGTTGTATTGAAAATTTGTAAGTTTGTGTGTTAGTTTTATTAACAGGTACACAACTTTCTGGAATTTAATTAGTAATCTTATGACTGTTATTTCATTTGGTTTTTTATTTTGTTAACACGGTTTATATATATTACAAGAAGCACACAATTTTTCTGCACAAGCAAGGCCCTACCTTATTTCTAAGAGAGTTTTAAGTTTCTGGTGTAACTGTAAAGTATTTGATATTTTGAAATAAGAATTTTTGGCCAAAATTCGCTGAATTTCCGTAGAACAAGTCGTTCGGAATAACAGATTTCATCGAGCGAATATGAGAGTATGGTCTCGTTTCCCGTGAGACTGACTTATAATAGTATAAACGAAGATTGGGAAATAAAAAGTTGAAATTTCCAGCAATATATTTTAGGAATTGTTGCTAGTTCCTAGAGGATAGCTTACCTCTGCCACGTTTGATAAAATGACATATGTCGCTTCTACCGCGTCGATCATCAATTTAATTCAATTAAGAAAGCTTTATTATATATATAATTAATGTCGATCAAATAAACCACATATTGGGTTTACTCATAATATATGTATGCACACATATGTATGTATATGTAAGTATAAATAAACATGCATGCACCTGAACAATTGTCGGGTATATCTATATAATATGTATGTAAGTAAAGCAGAGTGGAAATTTTTTTTGGAAAAAAGAACCAAAATATTTAATCTTGAGCAGGGTTAGATATTAGAGTAGGAGTATTGGTTCGGAGATATTCTTTTCATAGATTTTCCCTCCATTTGTGGTAAAGGCATCAAGACACAAACCACAAATTCGAGGAGGAGCTCGGCCGAAAATTGGTTCAGCGTTATAAAGCGCCAAAATTTATATATATAATAAAATGAATAACAAAGAAATCCGACGAAATTCTCATTGGAACCAGCTTAAAATTCCATGCGGACGAAAACGCGTTCTAACTGTAGTAAATTAATTATGCAACTTAAATGGTTTTTTAGAGAACCAACAGTTTTTGGGTTTGTTTCTGCAGAAGCATTTCTGAAACTAACTTTTGTGTTGGCTGCTCTGGTTCAACCAGACAACCTTAGCCCACATAAATCTTGCGATTTGCACCGTTTGATACATTTCACATAAATAAAAGCTTATACATATGTATATACTTACATTAATTCGGCGAGTACCCCATATGTATGGACATACGATTTCATGCCCACACCCTTTGCAATTACGAGTACATTCTTCATGCCTACCCCACTCAAACTCAAGCGATATTTTCGATTAAATCGAATTTTTCAATTTGCACATGCAATGTAGTTTTCGTAGTTTTTGGGCTTTTTTAGCTCTTTTTGTTTGCTTTGAGAATTTCCCGCCTACACGAATAACTATAAATGCATAAGCCTCAACGAACGCTCCAATATGTTTTGAAGCTTAATTATTGGCAGCCGCCGATTATCGAGGAAACGTGATAAAAGCTCTATTCCAAGCTTTCATATCGAAAGTTAATCATTTTCGAAACTGAATTACCATACACACCATATATTTATATATATGTGTGTGTGTATTGCCACCAGATATACCATTGGAGCTGGAGGATAAAATCGTAACGCTCCTCAAAGCTGGCTGTGATATGATTTTCAATTAAACATTTCACAACCGCTTTGAAGAATGGCACAATTTTAATTACTTACAACTTTCTTGTTTCAACACATTAATTTTACTATCGCCGGCTCGATTTATTCAATAAGTCACTAATAAATTCACTTTTTGCAATTATTAAAAGTTTTTTCGGCGCGCTGCTGACCCGTGGCGTTTGTTATCAACCGCGATTGTCGAGGCAACGAGAGAACAGATGTTCGGCATTTAATGTAGAGAGGAAAATTTGCTGAGTTATTATATTAGAGAATTAGCAAGTAGAAAAGTCAGCTGATTTGGGATCTTTTATTACTTAAAGAATAAAAAATAATATTAATAGTTCAATATGAATGATGTACTAACAACAGGAACTCCCAAATGTATTTTAAATAAACCTAATTGAAAGATATCAACGATCCAATGAAATAGTAACGGTACCCGTAGAACGAAAATGCGATGGCAGTGGAGAGGAATCATTGCTCGCAAGCCATTCAGTTTGCATTGAGTATTGAGCTTGGATTTTATGCCAAAAAAAAAATCAAAGAAATTCTTTTGGAGCTCATTTAATATTGTAGGCTAATGCATTGCAGGCTAAACCTTAGTGATTTTTTTTCAAAAGCAAACTTCTAATTGGTAAGACGTTGCGTGATATTTGCAACTTTGCCAGGAGAGCGAAAAACGCCAATGCTATGGCACAAAGAACATTTCTTATATCAAGTAATAACTGAATTTTTGAAGCTTTTCACTTGAATTCTTTGGAATTAGCGAAAATATTTATGAACATAAATGAATATCAAAATCAGCTAGTGGTCAACACGCGCAGAAAGATGATAGTTGGTCAACTTTTAGCATTACGTCGGCGTCAACGTTGCTTAGACTTGTATATGTATTTATCTAACAAATCTTTAAACAAAGTCAATCCGGCATCATACGTGATAAAACAGATCTAAAATCAAGTGAGTCATCGGTTGAATGTCCTCCTTTGCGGTATTATAAATATGCGTCGACCTGAGGATCATTTGTAAGTTCTTAGTTCTTATGCTAGAAGTTAACCTGCATATTTGTCGTAAATGAAATGTAAAAATGCAAATTTAAAAATGTTTCAAAATAATTTTTCGAAGCCTACATCACACATATGTATGTATCAGTTTTAGGAAGCTTCGACTTTATTTACGAAACAATTTTTATAGGCTTTTGTAGTTCGAATTGAGAGACATTCCTATTTTTTTTTCATTTCATCACCGACAAATATTGCTCTAATTTACTATTTTTCCAAGGACTACATTTTATAAGATTTATTTATTCTTCATATTATTTAGGTATGTATATATTTGTATCACCATTTTCTTAAATTTTAGTTACAAAATTATTTGCTTTTATAAAATTAGTTTGCTGTGCGGTTATCATAAGCATAAAATTATCCTTGTGTAGGCGTTAGTCATTTTCTCATTTGAAATTGGCCTAAAATTAAAATACTTTTAATAACATTTTGGAGCAAATATAGACAAATTTTCTCCCCATTTTTGTTTTTCTTTTTTGCAATTAAATAATTATATTTTTGGTTGTCTTTTCACCGGTATTCCTTAAGCATCAGCTTAAAATAATAACTGAAACTGTGTTGATAAAAAATGTGTATGTATGTTTTATTCGTTTTTCTTTCATTAAATCTTACAAAATATTTAAATACAACTAAAACATTGATAATATGAATAATTAAAAAAAAACCAATGCAACGATATTACGTGTCATACAAATGCATGTTACATAAATACAAATATATGTCTGTATACTTATGCGAAAAAATATATAATTATAAATCATAAGAAAAAAATAAAAATAAAAATGTAATGCAAATCATAATACTATGTTTCACATATCTGTCAAATAAAACTTGAATAACTGTAGTTAGTGCACCTACAAATACACATACATATACATATAATTTGTTTATGTATAGTAAAAGGTATGTATGTATGTATAAGTAAATAATACAAGCGTTAGCTACATAAAAGCACAAAGTGCTAACGATATAACTTCTTTTTTTTTATCTTGAAGAAATTAAAAGTAAATCACAAAAGAATTTATATTAATTCATAATTGCTATGCGCACTCAATGCCACTTAAATACATGTTTCTTTATATGTATATTTATGTTTAAATATGTAAATCAAAAATTAAATATTTGAGCGGTGAGTCTTTGTCTGATACAAGCGAATAAGACCTATACATATGTATGTAATACGTATATTTCGCAATCAGCAAATATTTAAAAAAAAATCATTATTTATATATACATATGTATATGTATTTAATTAATTTATTTTTATTAAAACTACTACTCTCTTTATGTTATTTCTTCATTAGCTCGCCGTAGTTTATGTGTATGTATACATGTAAAAATATGAAAAAATACAAAAGTTCTTCAAAATGAATTTAATTTTCACAATTTACACAATGGCGTCTTGACTTACATATAATTTATTCATAGGCATTATAATTAATCAGTTTCAATATTCGAATTCTTTATATCTAAATTTTCTTCGCGTATGCATACTGCCTACCTATATATAATATTTCATTTTCGTATATTTATGTATATATAAAAGTAAAAAGCACAATAAAAAAGCATACTAACCGTTATGTCATACTAAATATAGCTCAAAAAACTTTTCACTTCAATTATTCTCATATCTTAATTAACGTTGCTGGCTAGTTGGCATACTTATATGTGTACGTTATGTATGCGTTTCGAAAATTTTAGGATGCATCCATTCATATGCACATGTATGCATGTATGAGATTAGGTGAATTTTACAACTTTTCTAATACGTTTGCATATTATCGCACTTGTGCAAAAGCTTTATTCTTAAATTGAAAATTCATATTTATCTTATTTGACTTTTTTAATTATATTCCTACTTGTGCCTACCGTTTTAAAGTTTCGAACAAAAGTATTGACTACTTGAAAAGTTGTATGATATTACAAACTCCTATTTGCTTCTGCTTTTCTTAGCTTACACATACATACATATACATATGTTTGTATTGTATATGATTTCCTAGAGAACAAGCATTGGCAAACACTGCACTCCGTCTTTTCGCTTGGTAATTCATTTTAGTTTTAAATTGATATATGTATATATAACGAGATATTTATCTATCTTTCTTTGCATTTCACTCATCGATTTCTTTGCTAATATTCATATAAATTAACTCAGTACATGATTCGGCAATCTTAATGAATGCCGCGTCGAAAAACTCAGTTGAAGCTTAATCAGTTAATGTTTGAGCGACGAGTGCCAGTTGCTCCTTGAGGATGCGGAATGAGGGACGTTCTTCGGGACCATGAGACCAGCACTTTTTCATAACCTATAAATATGGATAAATTTTAGTACAATTGCAAGAATTTGGAATTCTAAATTCAAAAAAAAAAAAAAAAAAAAAATGGCTGAAATTACTATCATATACTAGCTTATAAGATTATTTTTATATAGATATTTTTGTTAAGAAGTCCAGCTGTTAGGTCTTATTACCCACACAAATTTATTTCTCAAAACAAGCATACTATACTACATATTATTGTAAATTATCTTGTGTATGGAAATACTGAAGGCATATACTTATAAATACGAAATACTTACGTCGTATATTTCCTTTGCACATGACTTTGGTTTTTCTAAGATAATACCACGTTGAACTCGTTCCACCACTTCGGTGTTCTTTAGACGGCCGTAAGGCATTTTGCCACATGTGAACACTTCCCACATAAGTACACCTAATTATCGCAATTAAAGACCCTTAAATAAATCAATTCTAATCTAAATATCCAAAATATCATTACCGTAGGCCCAGACATCACTTTTGGAAGAAAAACGCGTGTAGTTCAGCACCTCAGGTGGGGCCCACTTAATAGGAAACTTGGTGCCGCCTGAGCTTGTATATTGATCGTCCAAAACGTAACGGGCCAAACCAAAATCTGCTACCTTTACCACATTTTCGGAACCGACAAGACAATTGCGAGCAGCTAAATCACGATGAATGTAGTTATGACGTTCCAAGTAAGCCATGCCTTTGCTGACCTAATTATTATTAGTGTGACGTAAAATAACTTAATATTCTATTATTGTAAAATAAAGAAGAACACATACCTGTATGCACATATCCAGCAACAAGCCCATATTTCCAATCAATGTGGTCTCATGCCGGCGTAAATAGTTCAACAACGAGCCATGTTTCATATATTCGGTTACAATATATATGGGACGATGTTTTGAGCAAACGCCATATAACTGTACCAGGTTGGGATGTTGCAGTTTGGTCATCACTTTGGCTTCCTCAATAAAATCATCCTCGGACATGGTGCCCTCTTTCATCATTTTCACAGCAGTATCAATGGAACCGCGCCATTTGCCACGCCGCACCACACCAAATTGACCCGAACCGAGCTCCTCCATCAATATTAGTTCGTGTGGATGAATTTCCCATTTATCTGCAAGAAATTTATCAGATTATGTACTTCAGCAAAGTTACAGAAAAAGGAGCGACAACAAGCACATACCATGCGACAGTCCGGCTGTCGGTGGAACTGGTCTATCACAAGGCGATGATTTCAAACGGCATGCTAGTCCACCAGAATTATGTCGATGGTAGTTAACTAGGTCGGGTATGGTCTCGCAGCAATGCTTCTCACTTAAATAGTACTCTCCTCTCGCATTCTGTTTAATGTGATAATGTTTCACATGGGATTGTGGTCTGTTCGAGGGAAAAGTGGAGAATTATAAATTATAATAAAACTTGGTATTCGCCCTTATAGGTAGCCTCCTTCAACACTCACACTTTGGTATGTAGGGAGAGCGTGTATAAACCTTTTGTCGATGATTTACGCACAACAAAACATCCTTCTTTGTCACCCTGTTTGAGGAGAGATTCAGCACGTTGACGCGACATATCACCGACATACCACCTTTTGTCAGCAAAATAGGAAAGAAAATAATGAAATATTTCAAAATAAGCATTTTGCTGTGGTCATAAATAGTTAAGTTATATATGTTTGTATGTATAGAAGCTTATACTTACTCATAGCGCTCTAAACCCAGTAAAGCTTTTGGCTTCACGTAATTACTGGGTATGTAACCTACATTACCCAAAGCGTCCTTCACCTTCCACCAATGCTCTTGCGAATCATCAATCACTTCGTATTCAGCATTCTAATAAATTGTAGGCAATAAATATAAATTAAATTAATTCATTTTAGCGTCAAAATACCTTTTCCAACGATAAGTCACCACCTTCAATTGCCTTGAACGGATAAAGAGCCACCACAATCTTCACGAAATGTGAGTTATCCTGCGAGGAGATGTAAAAAAAAGAAATTTATTAAAAGATATCCATTAACAATAATTCCAAATGTATTTTTACTTACCTTGGCCTTAGAGTTTGGAGTACCCGGCGTTGGTATGCCTCCTGGCATTGTGTTGTCCAACAATGTAGCGCCGCTGTTCAATATGGTTGGTGATTGCTTAAACGTCGTAACCGAAGGCTATAGGAGAGTATAAGATAGAAAAAAGTTAGTTTGAAAACATTTAGCTGAAAAAGAACTTCTCGTCAGCTTGCCTCAGGCTTGACAAGAGATTATTTGCCAATCACACCGAGCAGTATTTGGTTTGTTGCACATATCAAGAAAAGCAAACTTTATGCTCACCTGTGTTGATGCAGATATTGGTGTTGAGCTTCCCAAGCTGCCGGAACTATTGTGATTCAAATTAAATTGGCTGGTTGAGGTCGAGTTGTTCGGACTGATGCTACGCGTTGAATTCTGGGCAGGAGAACTTCCCGTGCCTAAAAGTAGAACGAAGTGGATTGGGGCTTAATTAATGGTAACTCAAGTTATGCGCTAATTAAATTTAATATGAAATATCAGTTGTTGTTGGACTTTCTTTTAATATAATTATAAGACATTTAAATATTTCGGCTTTAAAAAACAAAGCAATGATATTTTTTTAATACAAAAAATGTGTTACTAACGCTTATAACTGTTATTTAGAAAATGAATCATCAATGTTATCTAATTTTACACCTATGTACATATATGTATATCATCTGTCTTCATTGCGCGTTTGGGCGACAAAGCAAAGCAGCATTTGGCGTGGGAGTTATGATGTGGAAAACGTTGCGCAACCGCCTTGCCAAAATTTTTTAATTTGGTTTTACTTTTTTCCTCTTCTTTACTGTACCCGACTCCACTCTGCATATCGGGTATGTTAGTTTTGTTCAGCTAACGATTGTATGCAACGGTAATAATTGTGAATCATGTGACCTCGTTAAGAATTACCATAGAATATTTTTGTGGACGAGTATCATCATCATGTGAAGATAGTCGAAATCAGAAGGTAGCCATCAGTCTGTCGAGGTAACAAAATTTACTTTGGTATTAAAATTTTGTTACTATTTCGTATTCTGAGTTCACTGTCACCCTGTAAATTGTGTTACCAGCGAGATAGGAGGTAACGAAAAATAAAAACCAAAATTGGTAGACATATTTAAGGCCTGGAATTCAATGAAGATGAAGAAAATGTGTAAAAAGGCGTATGCTAAGAAGTTGCGAGAAAAATATTAAAATTTTAATTTGAAGGTAGCGTTTTCATTCAGCTTTTTTGTCGTTTAGGCATATTTTCCAAAATTAAGTTCAAAAATTTATGATTTAATAAACCAATAAATAAAACTGATTTTTTTTTTTGTTGTGCACCGTCTTCCTTTTCGATGTGAATATTCTTCTTTTTCACTTTACCAAATGGAAAATGTAATTTGACAAGGACGAAAAAGGCAGTGCTGCCAAACATTATAACCAGTTGCAGAATACCAAATTCAATTTCGGATGTCAAAAAAAAGTAACAAAATTTACTTTACCGGTAACAGTGAAAATGGGCCTGTAAGTGTGAAATATGCATAAATTCCCTCTATTAATACAATATTAAATTCTAGTATGTATACGCGCTTGGAAAATTTATCGGCCGTTCGGGAGCAGCTTAAAAAAACCACAAATTGGAGGAGGAGGAGCTCGGTCGAAAATCGTTTCCGTAGTTATAAATCGGCAATCACATACACATATTTTATTTATGAGCCGAAATATTATTCACTATGGCATGGATGCAGATTACTAACTCCTTTCTTCCGTACACCAAAAGTTCCATTCAGACATAGCTCTCCCTTAGGCGATTTCAAAAAAAAAAAATTTTTTTTTGTGTGATTGTTGTAGGTGGGAATTTTGTGCTTTTAGCCAGTTAATGTATTTAAGCTCGTGTTTTTTCTTAAATAAGTATATGCATATGCTAGAGGTCGTCAGTTGGCGAGGAAAGAAAGTGTGTGCGTAGTGCGCAAGTCATGGCCGTGCAAGAGAATTACGCTGGTCCAAGGCTTATTTTGGCAGGTATGTGGAACTTACACTTAATCATTTATGGCTTATACGCATTATTTCGTATGCCGTTACGCACGCATACATATGTGAATAACTATTAATCGATAAAAATAAAATCATCAAATGATTGAGTAATTTGTTTAAATATAAAATGTTTCAATCGAAAAGCCCAAGTAATCATATAATAAACTTTTTTATTTAATTAATCCATTATTTCGATTATCGTTAAATTGTAAAGTATGAATACATATGTATTAATATACACTCTGCAGAAAAAGTCTACGTACCCCTAAGGCTTATTTTCTTTTGTTAAGAAATAATTTTTGTATAAAAAATTTCAGAGCAAAATCCCATTGCGTGCTGTATTGGTGGTCTATTGCATAATACGAGTATGATAGCACTTAAACCTACTTAAATTCGGCAAAATTGATTTATCGTTGAATTTACAGAAATACTCATTTGGCAGCGCATAAAAAGTCTGCGTGCAAGTGTGATAGTGTCGAAAAACTATAATTTTTTTCATGAAAGCAGCAATTTTAAAAGATTTCAAATCTATTCTGCTTGTTACTGAATGTATAATCGCAATGTCGTCCAAAGTAAAAGAAATAAGCTCTTCTGAAAGAGAAATTATGGTTCGCACCGTGAAGCTCGTAACGTTTTACAGAGTATGAAGCCGAATTCCCGACTTTCAGCATTCAGAATCGCTCAAAATTTTAAGGACAATTTCGAGCAGACCCTTTGCGCTTGACACCATCAGCGAAATTTTGAAAAATGCAGGATAACACGGCCATGCGGCACGCAAGAAGCCATTCATGCCGCGAGTAAGAGGCAGAAAGGTATTGCTTTCACGAAAGAGAACTTAAATAAGCCCCGGGTTCTGGCAGAAGGTTATTTTTTCCGACGAGGGCAAGTTTTGAGTCTTTAGATTTGAAATCATGAGGCCTAAGCTTATATGGCGAAAACTGGGTATGGTGGTGATGGAGCAATAATATGGTATTGGTTTGGCCAGAATGGAATTTTCAGAGTCCACAATCGACAAATGCGCATTTCTTAATATTTTGAAAAGAAATTTGAAGCAAATCCCTGAAGGATTGGGTCTAGGAAGTGACAGTGGACATTATGAAGCTTTGGTTTATCTACAACGTTCTCAAGCAGCTTTGAACACCACCGTAGTCACCAGATTTAAATCCGATAGAGACCTATGGGATTCACTGGAACGTTAAGTCAGCCAACGCACAATTACCTCAAAGGCTATGCTCGAGTATGTACTGCACGAGGAATGGGCTTCAATCTCTTCGATAGAAACCTCCAAACTTATTGATTCCATGCCAAAACGCCTAGCGTGGAATTCCGAAAAAGGAAGGCCTTTGTTCGACTTAAGTATCTTGCGCGCAGACTTTTTCTAATGAATTTTCTAGTCGCCTGTGTGTTTTGTTTTGTTTTGTTTGTATGTATTATTAGAAACTTTATTACTTTTATTTTCATAAATCTACAATGAATGAATATAAAATAAATTGAACCTTTTTTATCTAATTTTTTGTTGGTATTATGTACGCAGACTTTTTCTGCCGAGTGTATACATATACATAATAATCTTAATTTTAGTTGTATATACATACATACGTAATGCATTTATGTACGCATGAATCTAGTCTACTCAAGTATTTACAATAGTCCACTTTGCAACAAAACAACTTGCCATAAGAGGCGATGCAACATTCCGAAACCAGCTGTTGCTGCTAAAACAACGGCACCGCATGAAAGCTACGCTGGAAGCTTGAGACGGACACTGGGATCCGGCAAGTGCACACAATACGAACAACTAAACTAATTTCTTAACTTTCTCACATTTCCCCCCCTCCCCATTATACACACAAACACACACACACATATATATATATACAAACACCGCTCATGTGTGCATGCATCTGTACACAACCGTAAATTATAAAGCTAAAAGTGAACAATAAAAAATGAAATGAAACTACAATCGAGACACATTTTATACAATACCTAGTAACGTACCCAACTTCAAAGCGGATAAAAGCATCATATTTGCACCAGTTGAGTCGCTGAGTAGCCACGCTTGGGAGCCGGACGCACACGAACAAAAATCTAATGAAACAAAAAACACTGCAGCAATAACACCGTTACTCACTCGTATAACACAGGAGTTTTCGTTTTCAATTTATGTTCCGTTCAAATGTCCAGCGATTGAATGATGACTTTGCATGGAATTGCTTGCAATTTTACAAGCAAAAGTAAATAAGCTCGTACGTCGAATGTTTGTATGTGGTTCGTATGTAAAATGGTTTGCCAGTAGCGGTTTGCTTTTCCTCAATTCACTCACAAGTTAGTTATACTTATGTACATATGTATGTATGTATGTATGTATGTAGATGGCTAGACTTGGTGCTATGGGATCGGCGGCTGGGACTGGGACTGCGGCAGCGACTACTAATGGCAGGTGAAATGCTCGTGAGCTGATGTACATATGTATATACATATGTTTGTATTGTTGTTGTATTTACATATGTTTCGTGACGCAGTAATTATATTTTTCTTAATTTTTTTTCTGTGGTTTTACATGAAAAAGCGAACAAGTGCATATAAGTTGAAAGCAAGTATGAATGTATGTATGTATGTATGTATGTATGTGCACGTTCATATCAATAACGAAGAAAAACTATGTTAAACAATTCACTTTCACATATAACAATTTGTAAATTTGTATTTGTATGTTTGTTTCTCTCTAGTTGAAATGCAATATTTTAAGATACTGAGACATTCTGCGGAAACTATGACTTTGGTTTTGTAGAAACTTGTATAAGCCGGGGATCTAAGGTGTATTTAAAGTGAATTCAAACTCCACTGGCTCCGCCGCTCACGTTTATTTGACCAACTATTACATAAGGCGGTGGGGAGGAAGAGATGGAGAAGTGCAAATGTGTATCTTATTTTCATTATATGAACGAATATTTGTATGTATGCATGTATATATGTATATATGTACACCAATCAAAATAAAGATTAAAGGGGAGGAGAAGGCTCTCAAAAATATCGATTTCAGTTCGTTTTTTAAATAAATAAAATTGGATTTGAGCCTGGATGCGTTCTTCTGGCATGAAAAAATATAGATATTTCTAGGAACGATTTTATCGAATTTACCTATGGGATGAGTACATTGACAACCGTTTTGAAAGAAATTAAAAACTAGCGATATTTAATTTCGTCTCAGCTTTACAACTCATACATACTACATCTTGATTATATACATACATACATACATACATACATAGGTTTCTATCTAAATATCTAATGGCTACCATTGCGCGATCACCTTCAAAATTGAATTCGCCAATGAGCCAAACGCCATAAAATGGGAAACGCACACACATGCGACAATATCCACCGAAATACAAGT